GAAATTGAGATGTAATCTCACACAATTGCTTATTCTTGCTTGCCTCTCTCCTTTCTATCTTTCTTTATCTATCTATTTCTATCTATCTATCAATCTATATCTATCTATTTTTATCTATCTATATCTATTTCTTTCTATCTATCTATCTTTATCTATTTCTTTCTATATCTATCTATTTCTTTCTATCTATATCTATCGATCTATTTTTTCTATATATCTATTTCTATCTATTTCTTTCTATCAATCTATTTTATCTATCTATCAATTTCTATCTATATCTATTTCTTTCTATCTATATCTATCTATTTCTTTCTATCTATCTTTATCTATCTATCTAACTATCTATCTATTTCTTTCTGTATTTATCTATTTTTATCTATCTATATCTATGTATCTGTAACAACAAGCCCAGTATGCCTGCAAAAGGACAAATGGATTATACAGCCGTTGCGAATGCTTACCTGCTTTAACAGGCCACCCTGACTGCTAATTATGGCCAACTTACCTCCCTGGTTGATGGGCATTGTATTCTAATCAACCGCACGAACGCTATGGGAACTGTAAGCTCAGCCACCATTTCGGGACTTACACGTGTTCGCGGCCATTTTAACTCCCGAACAATGAATTGCCGATGAATGTCTGGAACTAAAATCGGACACTCGAACAGGCGAACACCGCTGAGACCTCCATACCTTCGGGAAAATATCACCAAATCTACCGAACGACCGGGCGTTCGGTAGAAAGCATTAACAGCAGATGGGGATTTCAGCGAACCCAGGATGGGATACGGATGGCCGGCCGTTCGGGAGTTTTTACCCACGTTCTTAGACCGACTGCAGGGCCAGCATTCATGGAACTGTTTTCGGCTACTGTACCCGTGCAGTCGGTCAAAACTTCTAAGTCCCATATCTCCCGAACGGCTGAACCGAATGGGCTGATTTTTAAATATGTTAGTACCATAAATATAGAAAAACTAGTGACGGTGCACTCAGACTTGTAAATTAATAACTAAGAAGGCTAACGCCTATCTAAGAATAAATATGGGGATTTAGTTCCACCATATGGCCATATGATGTTAAGCCCACTACTACTTCAAAGTACTCCAATATCAGTGGGTCCTACGCTAATAACAAAAATGTGGGAGATAAATTAAATAGTACTAGTGCTAAACATAAGCTACAGTGTATTGAATTCATTTCTTTGTAAGAGCAAAGTGAGTATACAATAGTGATAAAAGCAATTAAAAACAGTGTAACAACTAAACAATTAAAGTGTTGGTGCTTGAATGAGTATACTCACATCTGCAACACGTAGGACCCACTGATATTGGGGTACTTTGAAGTAGTAGTGGGCTTAACATCATATGGCCATATGGTGGAACTAAATCCCCATATTTATTCTTAGATAGGCGTTAGCCTTCTTAGTTATTAATTTACAAGTCTGAGTGCGCCGTAACTAGTTTTTCTGTATGAATTTTGGTCACCGCGGCAGCACCTTTCATGTATACGGGTGTGCCCCCAATCTCTCCTTTGTGCAAGTACCATAAATATAAGCTATCTGGGGATCATCCAAACTTTGGGGAAAAACTGTTCCTTTTTAATTATGTTATGTGGTTATCTGAGGGGAGGGAATTTACCGAATGTATATTGCATGGATTGGTTACTCTGCTAATTATGTGGGTGTCTCCCTTGCATGGGCAGAATCTCATAAAAGCAGAGTGTGTGTCATTAAACATTAGTTCTTCTTGACCCTTCAAAACGTAGCCTTGTCTCGTTCTTGAAAGGGGAATCTCTGCAGCTTAATCACTTAGCTCTTTTCAGAGCTGTACCTGGCTTCCACTCCTGATCCAGCAGAAGGGAATAGGCGACTTCATCACTACACAGCGACTGCCAGGGAGAAAAGGACGTCCCTAACAGCTGGTACCCTCTCTACACCAGGGTAGCCGTTACATTGGTGGCAGCGGTGGGATGGTCCTTTCATCCACAGCGCAGATGCGGGATGGAGTCTCAATACGCCAAATTGAAGAGGCCTACCCTAAAGGATCTACTGGAGAACCGGGGAAGGATTGCCAGTAACAGACCACGGAGAGAGCTGATCGCAGACCTACTAGAGCTGGACGGAATGGATCGGTCCATGGACGTAACAGAGACCCAGAGGCCAGACAGCGAGGAGGACGAGGTCGCCCGCATCTTACAGAGGAGACTGGCCTTCTATCCAGAGACATCAGTGGAGCTGATTGAGCGGCTGTTCCTCGATGCCAAAGCAGATATCAGGGAGAGGAGGGGGCACGAAATCGAACTGGTAAGTGCCCAACAGCCCATTACACATGCAGTTCCTATGTCCCCTCCACCTACTACCCCTAGGAAAGTGCCATGTACTGCGTTCAAAGCGTTTGTCAAGAATGAAGAGGAGATCGATGGATATTTAGCCGATTTCGAGAGACAGTACACCAGGTACCCCCTGACCAATGGGTTACCATCTTAGCTGGGAAGCTGTCCGGCAAGGCTAACGAGGCCTTTCGGGCCCCCACCGCAGAGGATATTTCACAGTACCAGCAGGTCAAAAAGGCCCTGTTAGCCCGTTATGCTGTGACGCCAGAGGCATACCGCCGACGGTTCCGTGAGTCTAAAAAGAAAGCCATGGACTCTCACATGGAATGGGCCAACCGTCTACAGAGAGTAGCCTCCCACTGGGTCCAAGGATGTAATGCCAGTACAGGGGAGGAAGTCCTGCAACTTTTCTTAATGGAACACTTCTTCCAAGACTTGGCAGCTGTACAACAGGACTGGGTAACAGCAACCTGAAAGAGGCGGCTCGGCTAGCGGACGAGTATGCCGAAACAAGGAGAGTTAGTCAAGGCTCTCACCGCACAACCAGCAGGCCGGAACCACGTACCCCAGCCAGCAATTTTCGCCCGGAGCTCCGTGCACCAGTACCACCAGGGCCCCCTCGCCCACAAGGGTCCCCCAGCTACCGAAGAGATGTATCTCGGATGGCGTGCCATCGCTGCAACAACCTGGGACACATGGCCCGTCACTGCCCCCTGGGGTCAGCAGCCAACAACTGGCGACGACCCTCACCACCTACAGAGACCGCATCACCCCGCCCTCCTTTTTCGTCCCCACGTACCTCAGCCGCCCATTGCCTGGAGACAGAGGTGGGCCCCGAGGAATGCCTGGGTATCTTGTATGAGGCGGACCCGATACAAGCTGCCTCCCCTGATAATCGACAACACCATCGACAAGAAGTGCGGGTGAACGGACAGGTGGAGCAAGGATTAAGGGACACTGGGGCCACCATTACATTAATGCAAAGACACCTGGACTTTTGTCCAACCGAACTGTGGCCGTATGAGTTGCTGGAGGAGCGGTTTTCCCGTTTACCCACTGCTAGGGTACACCTGGATTGGGGAGTCGGATCTGGGAAGACCACTGTGGGCATCATGGACAATTTACCCGCAGAAGTCGTACTGGGCAATGACATTGGCCCGCTTGCATCAGCTTATCTACCTACGACTGCTGCCGCCTGCCCAGTGACCACACGTTCCCAGGCGTATACTGCCGATGACCCTGCACCAGGACGGGAGACCCAGGTAAGCCACGACCCAGCCCCTAGGACAGACCCCATAGAGAGACCCTTAGCTTGGGATACCCCTGAAGCATTTGGGAGGGAGACACGAGCAAATCCTACCCTCCAAAAATACAGGGAGCTTGCAGATAGTGGGGGGAGTGAGAAGGAACGCTTTATCTGGGATACTGACCGACTGTATCGATTGACAGAAGGGAAAAAGACAGGTGGTGTCCCATCACAGAAGCGCCAACTAGTGGTACCCAGAAAGTACCGGTTGGAACTTCTGCGAATTGGACATGATATTCCCTTGGCAGGACATTTAGGAGGTAACCGCACTACCTACCGGATTACCCAGACCTTCTTTTGGCCGGGAATCTCAAAGGACGTGCGACGTTACTGTTGTACTTGTGACGTGTGTCAACGAGTAGGGAAGCGAGGGGACCACCCGAAAGCCAGACTGTTACCCATGCCAGTAATCGAGGAACCATTTAGCAGGGTGGCAGTCGATCTGGTGGGGCCCTTACCGAATCCCAGTCCCTTACCGTATATATTCTTACCGTAGTGGACTACGCTACCTGCTATCCGGAAGCCGTCGCGCTGATGAATATCCAGGCCGACACTGTCGCCAGTGCCTTGGTCGGGATATTCACCAGAGTGGGGTTTCCGCAAGAAATTTTGTCTGACCGAGTTACGCAATTTACCGCAGATCTGACCCAAGTTATGGAAGGTCTGTGGTATCAAGACCCTGTTCAGCTCGCCATACCACCCCCAGACT